CCANGCTTAAGTTAGACGCTTGAAATTTGGCATGCAGGTACCTTAGTAAAAATAAAGCTTAGTTACAACAGGATATTGCAAAATTCCCACGGGAACGGGAGTTAGCGGGAAAAAACATTTGTATGAAAAACTCTAAACCGCGTAAGATAGATGAAGGGGGTAAAACGGGATCCACGCGTACGAAGTCGCGGGCGGCCGCTAGTTTTATAATATAACTCGTTTGGAAGACCAGAATGCATAGTTTCAGGCTTCTTATACATTTTTACATTATTTAAAAAGTGACATGCATTTCTCGAGTTAATTAACATTCAACCTTTGTTCGGTACCTCGATTGTGGTTAACCATTCAAGCAAGCATTACGTCATTATCAAAGGTCACGTGCACGATAATAATTATTATTATGATCATAACCTTTGCCCCTTCTCATATCTCCGTGCGTGTTTCGCGATATAATCCCAGATAGGTGAACGTCACAGTCGACGAACCAGGGTGACCCTGTTATGTGCAAAAGTTGCTATCATAATCAACGTTTTACCATCAGTTGAGATAAAGGTCAAACACAAATTGAAGACGTAAGTATGCCTACTCCGACTGCACAATTTAGGCTGAGTTGCACCACCTAACTTTAACGGTAACTGACTAGTGTTTTTTGTATGGAGTTGGATTTTTGACGTTTGTTAAAGTAAGATGGTGCAAAACCAAGTCTTTGCCAAAGTAATTAAAAGAAGAAGAAAAATATGGTGCAACCTAGCCTGAGTATTTAATTAGAAAAAAGCTTAAAGGTACGTTTGTTATTATGATCTCCTTGTGCAGCTGTCGATTTTATCTAAACCGCACGAAAGCCTAATCAGAAAAAAAATTGTTGACGTCATCAACTTTACATACCTAACCAATCAAGCTGAATTCTACCTATCTATATATATAAAAATGAAACCCGTTTCGCGTTGTCACGGCATCACGTGTGAACGGCTGAACCGATTTCGACAATTCTTTTTTTTAAATGTTTGTGGAAGTCCAAGGATGGTTCTTACGGAAAAAAATATTAAGAAAATCTCTACGCTAAGGCGGTACGAAGTTCGCCGGGTCAGCTAGTGACTTTATAAATAGGGATGTCTAATCCAACTCACCTTTGCGGTCGACTTGCGGTAAGTCAATATAGAATTGAAATAAATATAAAATACACTATCACATTACATTTTTATTGTCTTGTATGCTCTACAATTCCGATACATAGTTTTACAGCCTACGGTTGAGCTCGGTATGTCGGTATGGAGGCACATCAGTCTTTCATAGGAACATTTACTATTCTTTCTTGGGGCCGGCGTTGTCAATCTGCAAAGTAAAATAAAACCATCAGATACGAGTATACGTCTAGCTTCAGCTACTACATTATTTAATTCTGTAACTAAGTCAAAAGTAGGCTTAATTACTTATTTTAACTCATCAATCCCCAACAAGCGGTCGCATATGACTTTTAACAATCAAAAAAATGTTGCCTTGCTTCAAGGGATAAAATGAGCTAGCAGCCAGCAATATCTCCAAAAGTCCTGTCAAAATCATTCTTTCTCTAATCTCCCGGGTCAATAAACCAAAAGATGTCATGTGAAAATGTCTGAAAAACACATGTCCCAGCATCCTAAGACCTTTCTTATAAACCCCCTGTAAGTATTCTTTCGTTCACTAAACACCCACTTACCGTTGTGGTACCGTGGAGTTACACGACTCAGAGCGTAGCTAGTTTTAGAAAGCAGTCTTTGTATGATAAATCTGGCGACCGATTCATAGTCTTACGATAACTAATAAATTAATTAATAAACGGTTGTCGTACGATTCGTTACAAAAACATAAGTACCAAGATGACGAAATAAAATCAATCATCTCCATCCATTAGTCATAGAATAAATCACTTTTATCGAAAAGTAAATCTAAACGACTAAAGCTGGGTTGCACCATCTTACTTTAACTTTAACAACGTCAAAAGTCTATAAAACTAACTGTATAAAAGCACTAGAAAACCCGCAATTCAAACAGAAATTGAAAGAATGGTTGTTGCAGAAATGTTTTTATAACCTAGATGAATATTTTAATAACTTTTGACATAATTTATTGACATTTGCTTTTTATCATTATTTTAAAATTTCTAATAACATATTGTACATCTGAAATGGATAACTGTTGAAGCCACTAAATTATTGTTACCACCTTTTGTACACAGTTTTGACAATAAAATTATGATTATGAAAAACTCCATACAAAACCACTGGTTATGGTTATAGTCACGGTTCAAATAGGGTGGTGCAACTCAGTTTCAGTTATTTACTATTTTGCGATTTCTTACAAATTTCTTAGTATTGTCAACAAAATCGTTGAAATTCTTCTTTATCGTGTCAGGGTCTACAGCCTCCTTCAATTTGCCGCTGATATCCTTGATTAACGCATCAGCCTGTTTTTGAAATTCTTGAAGGTAGTTCTCGTCAGTTTTCGCAGGAGCATCGCGTTTCACGAAAGCGTGAACCTGAAAAATAATTAAAAGGTCATTAACATAATCAAAACAAACGAAGATGCATATAAGGAAATGGATAAAGCACATTTTATTAGTCTTCGTGAATAGGTATACCAAAGTCATCATCATGAACATTCCATAACACTGAACTTTTTTTAACCACTGATATTTTTCTATCATTTCTACACTATTTTTCTTTAGGTATCTACCAAACAATAATGATGATAATGTATTGATTTTGATTACACCGTGAGCTTCTACGACACGACAGCGTGTTGAACATTGCATCGTACCACGTGCGATGTCGTGTCGTGAACTTCTACAATATTGGTCGTAGATTTCCACGACACGATGTCGCGTATTAAGATGTTATTTATGTTTTTAAATCCATAATTTTCTACCAAATCAAATCCAAAGACAAAGCTGTCAAAACAAATTGAAACTAACACAGTGCTCTCGTCACGTAACATTCATGCCCGTACGAAATTAGTACTATTTTTTTATCAACACAAAAATATAAAATTCAAACTACTCACGCTAATAAGGCACAAAGCCAAGAAGACGATCATATACTTGTTCATTGTTGGTCGGCTTTCAAACGACTGCACTGCTCAAAAACAAAATACGGACTGATGCCTCCAAGCGTGGGGTCACTTTTATCATACCAGATGTATTTGTCTTCCTTATCGTCTCCGGGTCGTAGTTCCAGGAATGCTAATTAACAAATAGGTTTGCAATCAACATTAATCGTCGTTTTGCTGTAGACCTATTATTCGTAATGCCTAGTTTCCTGTGACTACTTGCTCGTATGAATAGGCTATACATACATAATGCGTTATTGGTAACGAAGCTCGTGGCCGCGAGAGTGCGCCAGCCAAGTTGGGAGAAAAAGCAGTTCAATAGTTTTCTTAAAGACATATTAAAATTTACCGTTTTTCAATTTTTGACAGCTTTTTACTATTAATAAGGGGAGATGGAAAGTAAAAACTAAAGGTTTCCCTGGGTCAAATCCAATATTATTAATATTGGTAGTCAAATTAGTTAGTCAACGATCATATTTATATTGGTTGAGTTGAGACCTAATTAATCGTTTATCGTCTCGTAATATATGACATTATTTCCGGTAAAAATATTTATTGATGATAGATATGGAGAGATCTTGGGAGATATGCTTCTATCAAGAAATCAGAATAATATCCATAAAGGAACTAATTTAATACTTCCATACAATTTTGCATGTAATTTTAAATGTCATGTGCATCGTATGAAGCAAACATAGGAAACGTTGGGAAAAAGCAATATGACACTTGCAGAACTTGGCGCAAAACACAGAACGAGCGTAGCTGCTAGTTTTTTCATGCATTTTACTTGGATAACATAAATTTTCGATAACTTGAATAAAATTAATTTCCTAAGGTAATTAGTTAATGTATTTGTTGGTAGCTTGTTATTCCGAGTTACTGCCTCTGGTATGGCCATTGCGGCAATAGCATAATGATGGACGAAGACAAGAAGTTCTGTAAGGCCCGGTTTCCACCAAAGCAGACCAGAGCGGAGCGGAGTGTTTTGAATAACCAATCATATTACATTATTATCACTTCTCTCTGCTCCGCAAATTCTACTTATAGAAAAACTAGCGGCCGCCCGCGACTTCGTACGCGTGGATTTACCTTAGGAGTGGAGTTTCGTAAAATCCTTTCTTAGCGGATGCCTACGTCATAACATCTACCTGCATGCCAAACTTCAGCCCGACGATCCATCCAGTGGTTTGGGCTGTGCGTTAATAGATCACTATGTCATTCAGTCAGTCAGTCTGACCTTTGAGTTATATATTTAATTTAGATTAGTCCGCCCGACACTTTTCCGCTCCGCTCCGCCTTGGTGGAAAGCGGGCCTAAAGGTTCATATGAAGACGTATTGTGGCTCTTAAAGATGTTCTACAATTCGCGTTTACTATGGTCAGGCGATCCGGTTAAGGTTAAAGAGCAGTCACTGAACTGATGCGATACATTGTCATACAATAGAACGTTTGCTATCACAAATTCCTTTGTTCTAATGTTCATCAAATGGTTTTCTGAATAAAGAAAAATAAAATAAAATATCAAATGTATAGGCACCATAAAACGTCGTGATTTGAAATTTTTGACTTTTGTTAATTAGGTACGAACAGTAAGTCTTGATAGTCCGACTCCTTTATCTAACTAACAGGAAACAAAAGTTCACATGGTCCGATTAGTCGGACAAAGCAGTCGGACCACGTGTTCAGAGGGCTTATTAGAGTCACTGCCCTGCTTCCAGAGCTATTATTTTTTACTATAAAACACTACGGCCTGATAACTATGAATCATTTGACGTATTTTATCTCTTTCATACAATGACTGAGTACATCAGTTTAAATAGCATAAACTGATTAGTTGGAAAAAAATTGACCCATTGATATAAATACGCATTATGATGAAAGAAAAAGAAGATTTTAAAATAAAACATTTTATAATATCAACATATTTTATTTCAACATAATTAACAACGTAGTTAGATAAGTAAAATGGGTAATTGATTCTTGTTTACTTTTGAGTCGCAGGCTTGGTCGTCGCAGTTAAATCGTCGAACTGCAAAGAAAACAATTGTATTTAGAATTTTTTGTTAAATGACATGTTAATTATCGGGTGCAACACGAATAAAATGACAGGTAAAAGATTAAAAAACAAATATTATTTTGCGGTCTAATAATTATCTCATCTCAAAAGATCTTAAAACTTTTGAAATCTCGGATTTAGAAACCACCATCCGGTTTTCAAAAAAGTAAGTGTAAGTTTTGACATAAAACAATTTAAACAAACTTTCGACATATCTGTCTGAACTATCAAGATACCTTGTTTAGTTTTTCCTTCATCCCTCTCGAAAATATAAAAAAACATGATCTAAGCAATTGGTACCTCTCATGATCTTTAAAAACGTATTTTAGACAACCCTGGATAGAATATGAGATTGATTATTCAACCGAAGATAAAAATATATCACTTACTGCTTTTGTAAACCTGTTAATCGTATCCCCAACCGCAGAGAAGAGCGGCTGCAGTTGCTTCTCGTTGATCTGCCCCACCATGTTGGCCAGACCTTGGTCTACGCAATTCCGGAACTGGTCCACGTTCTTCTGCACATCCATAGCGAAGTTCTGGCCTTGCTGGAGTGGCTGGGCCATTTGTACGTCACGCTTGGCAATGGATGACGCTTTGACCTGAATGGTACAGAATTATTTTTGCGAGTTATGACGTTTCTCAGATGTTAATATGATCGATATTATAGCGGGGACACTATTATGGAGAAACATACCAGTAGAACCTTGAGTTTTCCCCACCTATCATCAGACAAACGTTAAAAACATTAAAAAATTCATTTATTTCCAAAAATACTTGTATACAGAGTTATTACCGAGTCTTCCCGGTAAGTAGTCAGAGACACTTGTATTGGGAATAACTCGCTACTTCCCATTAGGATATCTCTAATTAATTCTAGGAGTATTAGTTCACTAAGTAAGCATTTACTTTGGTATGTAAGAAAATTACAGCAGTATAATAATAAGTTATGGTTGATTACTCTTACTCTTTCATTGACATAGAAAGATTTATGCTTAATGATAGTATATTAAAAAAGAAAAGAATAGGATAATGCTCGTTATGTGTGGTTGTGTGTAGGAGTGTGAGTGTGAGTGTGTAAGTGTGAATGTGTAAATGTGAGTGTGAAGATGTGAATGTGTAGTATATGTATTCGTTAAAGCATGAATAATATGAACATGTTCAAATACTATGTGTCTTGTCACGAGTCTGTACATAATAATAGGAGTGTTTTTTTTTTTCGGCACTTTTGCGATTTTAGTCAAATTATGGTCTTTGCCAACGCCAATAAATTATGGCCCACAGACCTTAACCACTATGTATGTATTAGGTACCTAATAACAAAGTTAAGGGAATGACGTGATGTTCTTGGATTTAATACTAAAATGAAGTCGGTTAGATAAGTAAGGTTACTGTTTAAAAAATATCCTTATTTCTTTTTATCGAAAGAAACACTTATGAAAGTATTAAATTACAATTTAACTGGATGTGCACATAGTAAATTATTTTTTTACATTGTAGATGAACACAGTAATAACATTGCAAAGAGTTATCCAACCAAAGGCATAATTATTATAACCAATTAACTCCGGTAAATGCGAAAAAACTACATTTTTAAGCCCTGTCATTTATGTGATTTACCATAATAATGATTATTGGGTACAGCACAGTAATTTTTGTCCATCTGTTTCTCACATGTAATCTTGTATTAATTAATAAATAAATCTTTTGGACAATTNAAATAGTCCAGTCAATAAAGCATTATAGATGGAAAACTGTAGAACACTATTTCTGACTTCAGGACTTTATTTAGACTAGTTAGGAGGTGAACATAGTAAAAGTCCCCACCCTTAGCCCTTGAGCCGGCGGGGACAGGGGGGTTTAAAGGTGCCACTTTTAGGTTTTTCGCTTAATCCTCGGAAACTATGCGTCCTAGTGACATGGCTACTATGAACCAAAAAATGCTTATTCAATTTGCTACAGGTGAGATAGTCAAGTTTTTCAATAAATTGTATGGTTTTCGCGGCATCTGTTCTAGAAGGTCTGTAATATTGGAAATTTTATTTATGTCTTACATGTTCCCATCAGGAGAAAATCGACTAAATAAACATTAAGCAATCATTCTAGACATGCGGGAGCATGTTAAGCCTAGTTCCAGGGAGGGGACTGCACCGTGCGTATATTTAGACGAACCACTTTGAGCCACATTTGACTTCTCATCACTCAAAAACTACTGTGCATTAACACTTCAAATTTGGCTCATGTGTTGAGACTTGCAAGTTATACATCAGTTTCAAATTTCACAAATATCCCTCAAACGGTTCTTTAGGTATTGGCGTCCAAAAATCTACATGTTTGACCTATAGACCAAATTCTAACCACTTCCAGATGACATCGAAGGTTCAAATTTGGCATCCAGAAAGGTAGTTATGTAAATAATAATAATATAATAATAAAATGTTTATTGCCAATAAATCTTAATACAAAATATTCTTATAACTAGCGGCTTCTGCACTAAGCATAGCTTGTATCGCAGTAGCCTTTTTAAGTTTTTACATAATAATTTAAGTTTTTACGTAATTACTTTACTTTGAGGTCTGGGAACACAAATTCAGGCAATTTATTACTGTAGTTAAATTAAGATATAAAAATATAAAACGTGGTATCAAAAAAAAAATAGTTACAAGGCTTATGTAGGCAGTTATGTAAATACAAAGGAACAAATAAAAAACCAGTAAATTTTAACATTTCACATGTTATAGATAGATGTTAGTGCTCTAAATGTCGATTTTTGAACGTCAATACCTAAATAACCGTTTAAGGTATATTTATGAAATTTGAAGCTGATGTTTATCTTACAAGTCTCAACACATGAGCCAAATTTGAAGTGTTAATGCACAGTAGTTTTTAAATGATGAGGAGTCAAAAGTGGCTCTAATTGGTTCGTCTAAATATACGTACGGTGCAGTCCCCTCCCTGAAACTAGGCTTAACATGCTCTCGCACGTCTATAGTGTTTGCTCAATGTTGATTTAGTCGATTTTCTCCTGAAAAGAACATGTAAGACAAAAATAAAATTTCCAATTTTACAGACCTTCTAGAGCAGATGCCGCANGACGTTTCTCAATTTACGACGATTTTCAATTTAAGCCATTAAATGCGAAATTATTACATTCTACTGATCTATCTGCCTGATTGTAGTATAACTATTTTTATTACAGTTATTTTTATGCACGAGATTAGCACCCATAACACAAGCATAATAATTACTTACTTTGGGGCTAGATAGCGCTGTGTGAAATTGTCCAAAGATATTTATTTATTTATTATTATTCTTTCACATAGTAAAAAATAATGGAATCGGAATCACAATCTCAATAATTATGACGAAAACTCAATTCAAGCTCAAGAATGATCAATAAACACAAATAAAACTATTTTGTACTTTGTGATAATCTTTTCTAGAATATAAAGAACAATTTATATTAATAAAGATAATGGATTATAGGTTCTCAAAAATAGACAAAATTTTGTCACACTTACGTCAACCAGCAGAAGAATAGCACAAATAACGATTATTTTGATCATTATGAATATTGGGTTTACTGTTTATCGCGAAGATACTAACAGAACTGTCCGACTTGTGAACAGTAGCGACTACTTTTGTAAGCATTGACGTATGTGTTATTTGCCTGTTAGCTTTTACCTGTATGGCAATAAAGATGAGTAGGTATACAGAAACGGAGCGAAGCGGTTAGCGGCTATCGAAGATGAAATAGCGGTGACTGAGTTTGTTTCGGCGCTTCTTCTCAGCAAATGTTGGTCTCGAAGCACTGGTAGGGTAAAAAGATTATGAAACATGTAGAGGCTCCTTAAGAGCAAAATATTTGACGATTTGTAAGTACTATTTAAATAGTCTACACAAATAAAGAAATTTTGACTTTGACTTTAAAATGGCTGCGTCATTTACTCACGTGTATTTTAAAAAATCTTGGTTTTATTGTTACTCTCATAGCCTCTTACGACTTACGCACGTGAAAATGACAGTTCAATCGCTATTATAAATTTTCTTCTTTTGACAAAACTTTTCGTGACTAATGTCTAAGATTTGGTGCTTAAGCAGGAAAGAATGAGTTTTAATGAAAAAAGTCATGGAAGTAATTTCTTATTTGCTTTTAAAAATCACTTTTATACGATCCAATCAAAGCTTCATCCTATAATTGCTTCAGGAGAAATGCCCATATGCCAATGCATNGCTGCCCGCTAAGTTCGAGGCTGAGGCCATAAAAACATTAAAAAAATCATTTATTTCCAAAAATACTTGTATACAGAGTTATTACCGAGTCTTCCCGGTAAGTAGTCAGAGACACTTGTATTGGGAATAACTCGCTACTTCCCATTAGGATATCTCTAATTAATTCTAGGAGTATTAGTTCACTAAGTAAGCATTTACTTTGGTATGTAAGAAAATTACAGCAGTATATTGTAATAAGTTATGGTTGATTACTCTTTCATTGACATAGAAAGATATTTTATGCTTTTAATGATAGTATATTAAAAAAGAAAAGAATAGGATAATGCTCGTTATGTGTGGTTGTGTGTAGGAGTGTGAGTGTGAGTGTGTAAGTGTGAATGTGTAAATGTGAGTGTGAAGATGTGAATGTGTAGTATATGTATTCGCTAAAGCATGAATAATATGAACATGTTCAAATACTATGTGTCTTGTCACGAGTCTGTACATAATAATAGGAGTGTTTTTTTTTTTCTTCGGCACTTTTGCGATTTTTGTCAAATTATGGTCTTTGCCAAAGCCAATAAATTATGGCCCACAGACCTTAACCACTATGTATGTATTAGGTAATAACAAAGTTAAGGGAATGACGTGATGTTCTTGGATTTAATACTAAAATGAAGTCGGTTAGATAAGTAAGGTTACTGTTTAAAAAATATCCTTATTTCTTTTTATCGAAAGAAACACTTATGAAAGTATTAAATTACAATTTAACTGGATGTGCACATAGTAAATTATTTTTTTACATTGTAGATGAACACAGTAATAACATTGCAAAGAGTTATCCAACCAAAGGCATAATTTTTATAACCAATTAACTCCGGTAAATGCGAAAAAACTACATTTTTAAGCCCTGTCATTTATGTGATTTACCATAATAATGATTATTGGGTACAGCATAGTAATTTTTGTCCATCTGTTTCTCACATGTAATCTTGTATTAATTTCAGCCATTAAATGCGAAATTATTACATTCTACTGATCTATCTGCCTGATTGTAGTATAACTATTTTTATTACAGTTATTTTTATGCACGAAATTAGCACCCATAACACAAGCATATTAATTACTTACTTTGGGGCTAGATAGCGCTGTGTGAAATTGTCCAAAGATATTTATTTATTTATTATTATTCTTTCATAGTAAAAAATAATGGAATCGGAATAACAATCGCAATAATTATGACGAAAACTTAATTCAGGCTCAAGAATTGTCAATAAACATAAATAAAACTATTTTGAACTTTGTGATAATCTTTCCAGAATATAAAGAACAACGCTTCAAGGATTAGGTTCTCAAAAATAGACAAAATTTTATCATACTTACGTCAACCAGCAGAAGAATAGCACAAAGAACGATTATTTTGATCATTATGAATATTGGGTTTACTGTTTATCGCGAAGATACTAACAGAACTGTCCGACTTGTGAACAGTAGCGACTACTTTTGTAAGCATTGACGTATGTGTTATTTGCCTGTTAGCTTTTACCTGTATGGCAATAAAGATGATCAGGTATATAGAAACGGAGCGAAGCGATTAGCGGGTATCGATGATGAAAAGGTGGTGACTGAGTTTGTTGCGGCGCTTCTCAGCACTTGCCAAATGTTGATCTCGAAGCGCTGGTAGGGTAAAAAGATTATGAAACATGTAGAGGCTCCTTAAGAGCAAAATATTTGACGATTTCTAAATACTATTTAAATAGTCTACAAATAAAGAAATTTTGACTTTGACTTTGAAATGGCTGCGTCATTTCCTCACGTGTATTTAAAAAATCTTGGCTTTATTGATACTCTTAATAGCTCCTTACGACTTACGTGAAAATGACAGATTTCAGAGTTCAGTCGCTATAATTTAGCCTTCGATTTATATCCTCTATTTTCTTCTTTTGACAAAACTTTTCGTAACTAATGTCTAAGATTTGGTGCTTAAGCAGAATAAGAATAAAGAATGAGTTTTTGATGAAAAAAGTCAGTATTTGCTTTTAAAAATCAATTTTATACGATCCAATCAAAGCTATAATCGCTTCAGGAGAATTGCCCATATGCCAATGCATTAAAAATTAAAGCAGCCGTATTTCATTCCCCCTCATAGTAAAACGTAGAATATCTCTTACATTATTTAGGTATGCAAAAATTTTATGAAAACTAATTATGTTTGTTTCTGTTACTCTAGAATCACCCTTACTGCCAATCGGATATTGCTGATCGAAGTTCATTTGAGTTTGCTCAGCATCGTCTTATTTTAGCTGTATTGAGGTAATATGCATCACGTTTACTGGACACAATAACATGTGAAACGTAGAATAATCGTAGATTATTATAACCCTCTAAAACATACATGTCACTCAAGATCTTCAAAATAAAACTTGGTCTAGAAAACTACTATGCGCAATTTTAGACAGTTTATAAATAGTCNAAAGTTCAATGATTGTTCTTCTCGAATTACATTCTTAAGCCTCCCAGGGGCTAAAGGGCTAATGGCTAAAGGGCTCACCTTTAAGTTTTTCGTGAGAATTATGCATAAATATTTTAAGACAACCTTTACGATGTCGTCGGTCCACCTTGTGGGTGGACGTCCCACGCTGCGTTTTCCGGTACGCGGCCTCCACTCCAGAACCTTGTTGCCCCATCGGCCGTCAGTTCTGCGTACTATGTGCCCTGTCCATTGCCACTTCAGCTTGCTAATCAACATGGAAAGCATTGGGGGAGGCCTATGTTCAGCAGTGGACGTCCTATGGCTGAGATGATGATGATAATGATGATTTTAAAACAAAAACACATCGCTTTGCTTAATTATTTATTGTCAGGCATATCTATAGCGTGGTATTCACAAATTATAAACTTTATTTATAGTTTAGTTATTTTGTTTATTATCTTAAAGGCTAGCAGCATAATTTTATATCAGTAGCGGCAAAAGTTCTACCATCTGGGGGCACGTCTGGGGGCACGGCAGTGCCCCCGCCAAGTCGAGCGCGAAGCAAACACTGCCGTACCATCCTTTACTGGAACCATTTCGCCGCATTTTCAGGTCTCTATTTGAGAACCTCTGGATAAGACCAGAACGCTGAAATTTTCGTTATCTAGTAAGCTATAATCACATACTTAAAATCCAAAATTTCAAGTCTGTAGGTCATTTAGTTTCAAAGTTAAGCGAAAGCAAAGTTTCGCATTTATGACACTCACTCACTGATGATCATCAAAATAGAACTAGTACTTCCCATAAACTCAGAGAGCTGAAATTTGGTACAGAGTTACGGTTTAATGACTACATAAAGGGAAAACTATAAAAACTAGGAAAATCGAAGATCTGGAGTAACACCACATTCATAATCAATACTACTAGCGCCACACCGGCACCGTGGTGTTCGCCTATACCGCTCACCGCTAGATGGCGCTAGCATTTTGAGCGTCATTTTTCTTTCCCCCCGTCGATTAAGTTGAATGTTGTGTAAATATTTGAATTTCGTTGATTTCGTTTATTATATGGTGAGGTTGGCTGAGGTTAAGTTATTAAAACAACTTCTGCTTTGTTGTCCATTTTAAAGGTCGTTGAGTTTATTTGTGTTTAATATCGTAAAAAAAATGCCGATAATTTTAAAAGAAAAGACGACGACGTTAAAAAATTATGCCACTTTCTACAAAAAGAAGTGAAATCCCACCAAAAACATTCTGTAAAAAACTAGCCAAGTCTCGATGGAGCCGCTTGTTTATTGCTCTAAAAATCAAGTCACACAACATTAACTATAATAATAAAGAAATTGCAGTAAGGAACCTTAGACTTGGCACGACTTTGTCTAGATTTCATTACTTTTTAGAGATAAACAAGCGGCTCCATCGAGACTTGGCTAGTTTTTTACAGAATGTTTTTGGTGGGATCAACTTTACCCAACCCTCTAAAATCCAAATACCTATTCAATTCCAAATTTTCAAGCACCAACCTCAATTCTAGGAATGTAGATTGAATTCCAGTAAGGAAATTGGTCCTATTATAACAACCTCGGGCCACCTAGGGCCTGGTCATGATTAAGCCATTAAATTTGACCCAGTGTTATCTTAAGGTCCAGGGCTGGCACACAACTATTGTTCTTACGACAATCGGCTCTTTGAATTCCTTTGTGTATTTAATTTAATTGTAACTAACGTTTAAAAAGAATTTTTATGCATTATTTATTTTATAGTGATTAACAGAAGTTTTCATTAACAATATTTTATTTAAGAAAAAAGTGTTAATAGCAGTGGCACTTAAAAAACTAATTAGTTGAATAATTAAGTACAGTATCAAAATCATCTGTACTTGATTAATGGTCAAATAATTGTATTTAATATTCGCGTAAAATAAAATCTTATTAATTCCTACATTTAGATTTGATTTTTATCCTTGGACATTTTTAATTTGAAAACAAAAACAGCCTTAATAAAAGCCGGCTCCAAATATCTTCAGACTATTTCGCCTCTGGAATCGGCACCACTTCCACCAAATCGCACCTTATGTCATGAATATCAGTGCACATTTCATTTTCTTCCATTCCTTCAACCTGTGAAAAAGAAAAGCTTAACTAACTTAGCCTGTATTCCAGTAAATAGAGGTGGAATTGTGTAAAGCAAACGTACTTAATCATTGACAGTTCATAACGTACGATAAAGTCAGTTAAACAAAGCGTTTGACAGAATAATCGTACGTTATGAACTGTCAAATGATTACGATTGATTTACACAATCCACCTCAGGACCTCTAATTGCATGACAGTAAAGTTCAGTAGGAGAGAACCAGCTACATTATACCTAGATCTGTTTTTTATTCGGAAAAGAAAAGAAAATTGGAGTCCTTTATAAGCCTATTACTAGTAAGTCTGTGTATTATTGTCATAAAGATAAAAACTGTGGAAATTCATAATTTTATTGTAACTTGCCCTGATGGCGTCCTTGCATAGCATAAATATAATATAAATATAAATGCAGGGTGTATTTACGCTCTTAGCAAGGTCCTTAGCTAAGTTTGATGTTAATATTTGCCCATAATATTGCCAGCACTATAAATAGAAGCTACTGAATTAATATTTTCTGCTTTAACACAGTTCGATGAACAACGCCAGTAAATATTTATTTTTGTGACTGTTCAAAGGTACTAGAGTTATTCATCCAGTAAATACGTCTATGTATAGTTACTTAGTACTAGTATAATGTTTTTCAAATATTTTTTTTATTCAATACTTTTTCAAATTTATACGTTTTGAACCGGACGGTTGTCCTGCGTATGCAAGTCCGCACACTCACTGTTGGTACTCGTCAATTTAATTCCAACGCAATCATCTTACAATTTTCCGTGCGCGGTCCTACAAACAGTCAGACGTCTAATTTGAAACAGCTATTACAAAAATGTGTGTCATTCTTACCGTAAATGGAAAAGACTCCGAGTTTTCCAAGGCTTTTATGTCTTTCTCGTCCAAAGCAGCGAACAATTCAAAAATGGGGTACAAATAGCTCTCTATAGTTCTTGACATGTCGCTTACGAAATTAGCCATCGTTCTGCTAAACTCTTGCATTTCTGAGTAGTCCCCTCCAAATGATACATCTTCAGTTGGCTTACACTCACTCTGCAAAAAGATATGAAGAGGGATTAATTCCTAAGATATATTACGAAGTTTTCCCATCCCTATCACTTAAAGAGTGATGCTGGCATGAATGAAAGTGACACATAGGGGTAACCGAGTTGAGTTGTAACCAAAGGAGAGTTGTAACAATGAAGATTTTTGGAAGCCTATTAACTTTCGCATTTGTTAGCTCTAGACTTGAACAAAAAAAAATGCGCACTGTTACGAACTCGCTGGTACATAGTTAATAAGTTTCAAAAAATTGTCAATGTCACAACTCTCCTATGTCACCTATTCACCTAGGTCTCCCCTACTCGTAGACCCAAACCAAAGTACGCAAATAATGCGAAAGGTGCGATATTTTGTCACATACTTTGGCATTGTGTTTGTGCCTTTAATGACTAGGCCTTATTAATATAATTATTTGTTTTGCTCATATTTGTTTCTTTATGTGTTACTTTAATCAACTACAAGAAAAGTAAACATAATTATTGTAATTGACATAGTAAATTGTCTCAAAAATAATGACATATTAGTAATTACTATGTAGTTAGTCAAAGGTTTCTACTTACTAAAGATAAAAGAGCCGCAAAGATAAACGCAAATTTGAAAAACATGTTTGTAATATTTACTCTCAAAAGACACAAAATAACTAAAAAATAGTCTTCCATCTGTTTATATAAATATTGAAAATCTAGAGTTATACTGAACTAGAAACGAAACAGTCACGTTTGTCTTGTTCATTTCGATAAGAGTTATCTTTTGGACGTGTTCAAAACCTGTCAAATTGTCTATGTCTACAGGTTTGTTATTTAGTTGGATGTTATTAATTGTATTGGTATGCTATACATTGTATTTGAA